GGGATTTTGCAGAGCCAATCCTGCAAAATTCTCATCAGGCAGACATCAGTGGGAACTAAGAAGTGACTAGTGCATACTTCAGCATACTTCAGAGGTGAAGTTCTTCCAGAACTGAATTTAGAACAGTTTCATGATGACCTATTTAGTTAACACTAATGACTGCACAAAGTTCTGCCTTGAATTTTGTGTGTGAAGTGTTATTTCTGTAATGCCCCCAAACCCGAACACCTTCATTAAAGACATGTGACATTTCTGTACAGAAGCCAGTTTTGTTTATCACTGATAATTTTCCATTCCAGTACTAATAAAGGATCTGGAGCAGCCTGAGGAGGGAAAATGCCTGCAAAATCACAGGAGACGGGGACTCTGTTCTCTTTGAATTTTATTTTCACTGCTATTAGGAGACATTCTGTTAGCAACTGGCTCTCCTGGGGAATGCCAAACACACAATGAAAACACTTTAAAACATCACTGCTATTCTAAAAATATCTCTCTTTATTGCTCTTTTAAACACTTCTGTTTTGTTCAGCTTATTAGGTCCTTGATCTTTTCTCCTCTGAGACTTCTTTGACTTGTATAACAAGTCAACAAGAATTTAGGCAACTTTTTCTGTGCAAACTGCCACCAATCAGTTTCTCAGACTGCAAATCAGGCAGTTTATTTAGACAACTGATTTTAGTCAGAACTGTAGAGGATGTAGAAGAAATGACCCAGGACACCAAAAGGAGCTGTCTCTGGGAGAAATTTCACTTTGGCTTTTCCAGAAAATATTAGCTTCTGACTCTTAAAAGCACAGAATTCTGCTGTACACATGACACATAATCTACTTGTAAAGCTTACTTACAGGGTCCAACTGTAACTACCCAACTTAACCAGCTTTTTTGCCCAAGCTGTCTCTACTGTAAAAAAGGGAGCTATTTGAGTGTGGCCAAATGAGATTTCTGACCTAGGAAAATCTCTCCAGACACTTCAAAGACAACACAGAATTACTCCCTGGGATAAGTGAAATAAACCACTCATCTCTCCAACTTCTAGTCAAAACTACTTAGAGATAGAAATAGTTTTTCATTCAATTGCATTGCAGCAGAAAGCCATTTTTAGTGGGTCACATAATAGGGCAGCATAACCAAGTTCATTATCATCAGTGTAAATTAGTTTTGAGACTGTAGTAAATAAGATTCTTGTCGTGTCTTATTGTTCATTGTATAGATCACACCATATTAGACCTTAGCTGGAGAGCAATTATCACTACAATACATACCAAGATCTTGATTATGGGCTTTCTCTTGTCCTTCCAGGTACAGCAAACTATAGCCAGTCCATAATTTTGGCATCCCCTGTGGGCAGAGGGGTTCTCTGTCTGACTGACTGTGAAGGACGAGCAAGAATCCACTTGCAGATCTCGTGTGGGGGCCTGGTGGTCCTGGGATACCAGTCTGGCCAGGTGGACCTTACCCATAGAAGAAAGGTAAAAGAAATTTACTTGTATAAAATATAGCAAAAGTTCACACTAGCTATATGTTAAGTGTTCACTAAGGAGTTCCTGACTCAATATAATACAACTCCACGGGCTGCCATGGGCAATAGAGACACCAGTGGACTTACGTTATCCTTCTTATGGGAGAGAAATGAACTGCATTGCCACTGAATGCTTGGCAGTTGGGTTTTCTATTGTGCCTCTGTCTTGTGCTGTATGGATTAAGAAATGAACGGAGGTGGGCAATGATTTCCCAGACTAACTCAGTAGGATGACTTTTCTGGACTGAATTTGAATCTTTGCGGTAACAGTCGATGCCCCTTCCTCACATATGTATTAAACCCTTCATTTATTCAGGAGCAGTCACAGTTAAAATACAATTTTAATTACTCCCAGACAGTTGCCCCATTAGCCCTGACTCAGAGATGCATGCCTATTGATATGTGCTGTCTGAGCCTCTGTGGTTAATTGCCTTTCTGCTTAATAATGGATGCTGAGATAAATTTTCTTCCAACAAGTCTTGTTATGAAATCATTCACAAATGTCTCTATATCAGTGTTTGAACTGAGAGGGGGGAAAAGCGTCATGGGATCTCAGGCTAGAGGTGGATGCATCCATGTGTGAACTGGGGGAGTAGGTCTATCCATCATCTCACACATCTCTCCCCCAGAGTCATGTTCCATTCTTACCTTGTGGCCCAGCATATCCTTGCTCTCCTCTGCTCCCTTGGTCACCTGGTGGTCCAGGTGCCCCTGGTAAGCCATCTTGACCTGGCAGGCCATATGACCCTTCTTCACCTTTTCCTCCTAGATAAATACAAAGGATGTGCTTTTCCTTCATATGGCTGCATTTAAGGTTATACATTGTCCAAACACAAAGGGCCAGTCACAGAACAGACACCAGGCCAGGGAGGTGCAGAACCCCTTTCTGCTGGGAATTCTCTTCACAATTTACCCACTCTGTGACCACAGTAGTAGCTCAGAGGCATGACTTTAGTAACAGCAGCTCCTGATAAGGTTTTACATCCTCTCTCCAGAAGCTTTGTCATTTACAGTTGATATTAAAGCACTCCCTACCAAACATTATCAGGCAAGCCTCTTGTGGAATTGCCATCAGGATCTGTACTGTGTCATGATCTATAACTCATCCCTTAGAACCCAATTCACCAAAGTCTTAGAACACACAGTGAACTCTCCTTGAAGTAAGGGATCTATTGGAGTACTTACAGAACAGGGAGGGACTGTAGAACTGGACTATATCCAGTGGGGAAGGGTAAAGACATTTCTGCTGTCCTCACTTTTCTGTATTTCTTATGTGTCCATATATTTTTACACATTAGCAGATGAGGTGTGGCCGTGACAGTAAAAGCTGTGTCTCATTTGCAGGGCACAGATAGTGATAGGCCTGTTCACTGGCTACTTAAAACATAATCTGAATTCAATATTTACACTTGTCAGGTATTATTGCACTTAGCAGTGGTTTTCCTCTTTTGATAAAAACCAGTTTTCAGATGAGGGTGTGTCTCCAGCACCCACCACGGTTGTTTCTCAGTAATGGTGTGTTTCACTCCTTGCAGATTTTGCTATTTAACCTGTAGACTGAGTAATTCAAGGTTGTCTCACAACAGTCAAAATTTCCCCATGTTATTTTTTACTAGATTCATTAAGAAAACCTAAACCAGTCAAAACAATTAACAGCATTTCTATGTTGATTGCACAGTTATTCTGCCAAAGCTTAAGCACACTGAAGTTCTAGTAAAGCACATTGCTTTTGCCAGTAAAACTTCCAGTTTGCCTTCCAAGCCAGAAGAAAATTGGACTTCTCCTATCTTAATGAAAGGAGAAGCATTACTAAGTATTTCTTTATTTCTTTCATAAAACCAGTACAAATATGTGTCATTATATCACCTGGTTTTACAGAAACTCTTGCATGGAATCTCCTGGGAGAATATAATGGATTTTCCCTCCGGAGATACTGGATGTCCAGAGCAGCCACTACAACAAACTTCAGTTTCCCAAGTAGGAAATACCTAAAACCACACGAGGGATTCCACTATCTAAACTGAAGACACTATGCAGACAGGCTGTGCTTTATTTCCATGAAGATGTCTATCTATTGGAATCATCAGTACCAGCATCACCCTTGTTTTCTTTTTATCTGTCAGAAGAATGTTTCAGTTTTTCATAATTTCTTTTTAAGATCTCTTTGGTCAGTTTTCTTTTCTGGTAACTTTTTCATGTCCTAACAGATAAAGAGCACTATTGTAGCTACCTCTTTGACTTCAGTGTCTTTTTAGGACTTTGGTTAGCAGAGCTTTGGGGTTCATTACTGCTAAATTTTAAAGCATGTATACTTTTAACATCCTTCAAATATGTCTAAACCATGGAAGTGGTTTGAGGCATTGCTTTATCATTTGTTGGGAAAAAGGAAAAATACTATTTGAAGAACTCTTTTCTCAACAGTGCCTCATGCTTTTGCCCTCCCTGGCCTAGGAAAAGGGAATATAGTGCAGGCAGTTTCAAAACATGAGCTTACCATGGGGTCCAGGGTGGCCTATTGGCCCTGGTAATCCTGCAGAGCCATCCTCTCCTCTTTGCCCTGCTTCCCCAGGAGGGCCTGGGATTTTAGGGCATGAATCATCTACTTTTCCTGGTTCACCAGGGTCACCTGGAATGTGTAACAGGAAAGTGAATTGGAAGGCTGGTTAATGGCTCCCATGCGAAAAGTCAACATAAACGTGAGCTGACTTTGGTGTGGTCCTTTAGGGATGTTGTTTAGTGCTGGACTTGGCAGTGCTGGGTTAATGGTTGGATTCAATGACCTTGAAGGCCTTTTCCAAGCTAAACAATTTTATGTTTCAAATATTTGGTGTACAGTTCTGGTCGTAATATGCCCCAAACTAATTTGACTTACAGCCTAAAATCTACCCAACTTCGGTGCAAGCACCTTAGCACATGTAACATTTTATAGTATTTTGCCTATTTTGTTGCTGCAGGACCATCAACAATCAGGCCGAAAAAGCTAGCCCTTAAAAGCCATTTAAAATAATTATAATATAAAAAAATAAAGGATAGCCACATTTTATATAGTGAAAGTTACTGGGAGCTATTGCCTGTTTGCATTTTGGGACATAATTTAGTCAGAAGAAGATTTTAGCATCTGTAGTAATCCAGTGTTAGAATTCAAGCTTTTGCTAAGCCTTTGGTTTGAAGAGCATCTTGAGTGAAAACCAAAAAACCAATTCTAACTAGAAACAAGAGATTTCACAATTCTAATTGACATTATAGCATGGGACTTCTCAACAGCACTATCATGATATTGGTACTAGAGCTATTTGTGAAGCAGGTATTAGAACTATGTCCTTGTAGCAGTATCTACTATTCCTGGCAGCTACACCAAGAATGCCTTCTAATAAGAGTTGAATGTATCTGAACATAAGGGAGGTCCCACAAAAAGAACAATAATCAATAGTTGTGAACTTACCAATGAAACCTGAAGGATTTGAAAAATGGAAAGCAGATTGTGGCCGTTGTGGTGCAGGTGGAAGCAAGTTTCAGGCATGTAAATTAGAGTAAAGAATGGAATGAGAAGTGAAATCACTTACATGAGGTGACATTAGAAACAAATACTTAGTTCAGAAATTTTTACGCTACTCAAATGAGAAATCAAGTTGGCAGTTGTGGGGTTTTTTTCTGAGCTTGTTTAAATTGTCTGTATGCAGGTAAACATTAGTATGATTATATGTGAATAGAAGGATCACAGCTACAGTTGAGTGACAGTGAACGACAGGTTCATAACTACCTGTGGGACCTCTGGGACCAGGTCTTCCTTGAAAACCTTGGTCTCCTGGTTGTCCTGTAGCACCAGGTGGACCCTGTGGGCCAGGGATCCCCATAGGACCTGGAAATAAAACCAAACATAAATAAAATGAAGTCTGGCTGCTTAGGACACTTCAGCTCTGTAGTGTCCCAGAAAGAAATGCTCGCTTCCTCCTCTCTTCCCTGGTCCTGAGCTGAATTAAAATTTATGACTTTTCTGTTTGTAGAGATTGGAAGTGATTGGTGTAGATGGGATTTCTGTACAGTGTGTGGAAGAAACAGAATATCTAGATTCCTATTTTCAAACTAAAGGATCTGTTGAAAGTCCAAAGCTATTGATATGGGGCAGATGTGAGACTCTGTTAATTCAAACACATCTGCATTTTCCATAGTTTCTCAAGACCCCTAAAGAGGCATCAAGGTTTGCCTATTTGGCAAACTCAAACATTTTACTGCCTTATCCTCAGATTGATAGGGGAGTCTTCCAACAAGCTGTTGGAAGCAGTGCATGTGAATCTGTCTCTGCTCTCACCTTCTACCCCAACCCTATCTTATCTGTAGGTAACCAGGCAGAGCTAGGAAATGTCCAGCCTCTGCCCCTCCTGCCTGGCCCGGTCTCCAATGGCAATCCCCTGGGCACAAGGCTCGGTTGCTTGGGGCTGGGCATAAGTGCATACTGTATTTAAAAACATCTCAGATCATACCCTTTGGGCCTTCTCTTCCTTGGTTCCCTGGAAGACCTCTGGCTCCTTGTTGTCCTCGCTGCCCAGGATTACCTGGTGCCCCTCGAACGCCGATATCGCCTGGATCCCCTCGCACAAAGATGGTCTCTCCAGGAGGACCAGGATTCCCAGGATGACCTGTGGTAATAGAACTTTATCCTTAATGTATGCACAAAGTTTAAACATCTAAAAATAGCATTGTTCCACTGGTTTTTGTTTTGTTGGGTTTTTTTTTCCCTTAAGATGTAGGACAGCCCTTGCATGTTTTTGGAAACGCTAACATAAGCCTTTATAAGGAAGAAAATAATAGGAATATTTCCCAAAGCTGTTTAGATTCTGTGCAAGCAAAAGGCAGCAAGTTAGTGGTACATGCATTGAAACACTGTTTCTCTATATTTATATTTTATATTATAGATTTATTACCATATTGCTTTGTCTGGAGATCTGTATTTTGTCCTTGCTCTGGTGATCTATCCAGTGTTCCCTTCTCTGTGCATGCACTGAGGTATTGACGGGTTTCTTTGTTCCCTATGCACTTTTATACATTGTTCCACAGACAGTAACCCTGTAATTCCTAGTAGCCTCAGGGGTTTTTTTACATGATAAAAATTGGTATTTTTAGTTTTAATACCTCTGATGCCATCTAAGCCAGGTGGTCCTTGATCACCTGGAGGACCAGGAGAAGCACTATCAGGACATCTTCCCATAGGTCCAGTGGGTCCAACAGGTCCTCTTCTACCTAAAGGATCATGGGGTTTTTTTGAAAAGAAAGTAATTATCTGAGTTTTTTTAGATCACAGACAGAAGCTGCTAAGTAAAAGAATGCTGACATGTGAAGTCATGGAGGTGATGTATGCTCTCACTTGTATATCAAACATACCAGTGATCAGGCTAATGAAGCCATCTTGTCAAAGTGAAAATATTTATCTTTGGAAATTTTTAATTCTTCCCATAAAATCTATGTAACCTTAGGAATGCATCCTCGCTCTTTGGCATGTTGCCACAAATAAATATGTTCTATTGAGTTCCAGCAATGGGAGAAATGGCAACAATATAAGGTGAGTGGGGACTGTGAAGTCATTCTGCTTGGAACGGGATAAGCATTCACAGATTGTTCCCAGCATAAGGGAGTTCAGCTGATCCCTAAAAACCTCAGAACAAAATGAATTTACTAACCTTAAATGCATTTTTTTTCCTAATTTGTAATCTGGACTTCTGGAAAATAAGACATTAATGCCCTTATATGTTACAGGCAGAAAGAGTTACAGGTTACTATCCTCTGCATAACACTTTTGAACAATCACAGCCTGTTAACATGCATGTTACGTTCTGTTGCCTTCTCTTTTCTACAAAAAAACAAATCTAGTTTCTTCAGTCTTGCTTTTGACCCCACCCTTTCATTTACTCTCTAGTGAGTACTCCCTAATTTGCCAAAGCTGATCACAATACACCATGGGAGGCCTTGCCTATCCTATGTCAAGCAGCATTAATACATCTCAGAATTAAACTTTCTCTTTTTTCCTCAAAAACACCATTCTGTAGATTCCTCCAGATCACAAATTAGTAACCAAACTGAGAAAAATTGTGTCTTCATTTTAGAATAATTCACCTCACCAGAATTTTCCTCCTGCTATTTTTCCTCTGTGCGTTATGTGACACTGTGGCAAGGTTTGGCAGCATAAAGCTAATGTCACTTCTAATCACAGAATTGCTGAGGCTTGAGTCTAACCCTCTCCTCAAAGCAGGATCAGCTAGAGCAGGTTGCCTCAAGACTCTGTCCAGTTGGGGTTTGAGTATCTCCAATGACAGACACTTTGGTAATTTCTCCAAGCAAGCTGTTCCCATATTTAATTACCTTCATAGGTAAATTAAACTTTTCCTTATATTTAAGTAGAATCTCCTGTATGTCAGTTTGTGCCCATTACCTCTTGTCCAGTCACTGGACACCACTATGAAGAAACTGTCTCCGTGTCCTTCCCATCAGGTACTGACACACGTGGATAAATTCCCCCGAGCCTTCTCTTCTGCAGGCTGAGCAATTCCCCCTCCCTCAGCCTCTCCTCATAGGACAGATGCTCAAACCTCTTAACTTTCTCAATGGCCCTTCCTCAAACACTTGCTCTTTCCTATTTCTGTGTAATTCTTATATCACCAATCTCTTTAAATAATCATTGCAATCTTGTGATGCAGTTCCATCTTGCATTTACATCATAATAGTTGATGGATTTCCTGTAGTTCTGTGACTACCAAGTCTTCTCCATTCTTTTTCTTCAGGAATTTTTTCCCAAGAGGCAACCCTACCTAGCAGTTCCCTGAGTCTGTCCAAGTCCATCATTTTCTATTCTTTTCTCTCCTGTAACATAACAAACAAGAAATCCCAGGGTCTCTGTATCTCTACTCAGGAAACATCAGTGTGTTATTACAACAGCAATGTTTTTAGGGAAGGAATATTCTGGGTGTGTATAATGTTCATCTTAAGCAGGGTAAGAACCTGTATGAGCTTAATTTCAATTCTGCAAAGCAGCACTAAGGAGAAAACCCTTTCTCACCTGGGAATCCTGGGAATCCCCTTTCTCCAGGGGGGCCTGGAATAGAAATACCAGGCCATCCAGGTTCACCTCTGTCTCCTTTTGGTCCAATTTCTCCTGAGTATCCTGGAGGCCCTGTTTCACTTTGACCTTTATAAGAAAACAATTATGTACATAAAGCTTACAGTGAGTACAAATACAGATGTGCAGAATAGAAATACCAGCTGCAGATGTTCTTCCTTGCAAGGGTTGCCTAGTGCTGTTTTTCTGGTTCTCTCTTGGAAGCTGGATAGAGTTTTGTTGAATCTGGCCCTAATTCATCTCTTTCAAAGAAAGCAATCTCTTTGCTTTAATGCTCTTCTTCAGGGGTTATTTTATATTGTGTCAGTTGTCTGTAACTTGAAATGTAAACTGCTTACATGGTTCTAAATTTAATTACCTATCAGCATATATTTGTAAACTGTAGATAGATGGTAAGCATTGTTTTTTGAAATGATGCTTCAAAAGCACATTTTGAAAGTTGCAAATACATCAGTGTGAGTGAAATCCAGGTTCTTCTTAAGTTTGTGGCACAACTCCATTAAAGAATGGGGCTGGGATTTGACAAGTCTCCCTTTAATTTGTTAGTTTCATCTTTTACATATTAAAAAAAGGAGACTTGGCTCTCCTTTGAATCATCTGCACTGAACATCTTAATTTTATAAACAGCCTTGAACCATTCCAACAAAACTATGTGAGTAAGGGAAGTTTGAAGGTTTTCCCCACAAATAACTGCAGGTGTGTCATTAGGCATATTCTAGATTCTGTTTGAAAGTTTAGTCTGAGCTTTAATGATATTTTCTGGGCGAGGCAAACATCAAAATAACATGCTCCTCTCCTTGCACCTTCAGTCATTTAAGAGAAGATTTTCTGTTGCACATAGCTATTTCCTTTCTTTACCTGGAGCTCCTGCAGAACCTTTTTGACCTTTTAGTCCATCCAAGCCATCCAGTCCAGGAAGTCCAGGAAGACCTGAAAGGTATTACAGGCATGACTGGGTGCCACAGTAATCCTTTAAAATCACAATTAAAAGCTATACCTTTTTTTTTTTTTTATCTGACAACACATTCTGGATCAAGATGGGGTATTTGCTGAATTTGATTCTTATTGACAACTGAAGATGAGATCACACTGCACCTGAGTGCAGCCTTTTTGGAAAGGAAAATGCGATCAAATTGAAAATAGCAATGAGAATACAGTTTTACTTCAAAGCAGAAAACATACCTTTCAATCCTATAGGTATTTCCATAGTGCAGTCAGCAGTAGGAAGCTTGGTATGGGCTAATTTATAGTGAACTTGTGTCTGTGTTTAGGCTGCTACTGCTACATGTGGTTAACCTGTCCAAAGTTAGTTGCATTGTCCCTTCATGACCTCATGACTGGGTTGCAGACACCACCTAAAGTACCTTAAAAATGTAAGTGCAATTTAATCTATCTACACTAAAAAAGAGGCTAAATTTTCATCTGGTTTCTTTTCTCTGGTCCTGCAGCTTTCACACAGAAAACTCTGCTTTTTTGCACCACACTATTACAAAATTTTTCCCTGTCTAGCTCCTTCCTGGCACAGAAGATATGTAAGTTCTGTGTCTTGGTTCCTGTGCTCGAGCCCAGCATGTCCTGTAGCACAACAATCTGCCATTTATCCAGAGAATGAATCTTATTGCTCTACTTAAGCACATATGAATGGACATATTTTTTTAAGTTTATGAACTGGTGAAATCTGGCAGAGACAAATTGCTGTAGGAACAGCAACACAAATGCCATTCATCAACTACTTCATCTGCCAGATTTAAAGGTCCCTAGTTCACAGATAGGTCATATGAGAAAGGAAAAATAAAAAGGCACTAGAGTTCTCTAACAGGCACACCAAAAATTATAATCATATAGCTCTGCCCTCAGGAACTGTTGAATTATTTTAGTTAAAATTTAACAATGGATGAATTGAAAAGGAAAAAAAATTCCAGCCTGTAGCAAACACCTGACTGGAAAATATTTAAATCCAGAAGATTGTTTGAAAACCTGAAAGACATTTATAATATACTCTCTGTGTAATCCACTTTATAATGTGGGGTACTAGTAATCCAACCTGTAATATCTTCTTGCCCTTAATTAACTGTTCTTTACCTTTTCAGGACATTCTAAGTTTAAGTCCTGCTTTCTGTAGCCTCCTTGTACTTTGGACATGTTCCCATTTTCAAATTTATGTAAGAGTTGCATTTGGGGAATTTAACAGTGGTATTTTAAAATTATTACCAACTCCTAACTAATTTTGGTCCCCAGGTCACCATTTAAAACTTTTTTGATCTTTGACTCATTCAGGCAAGATTGATGGCTTGGTTTACTTGCTTTCCAGGGAATTTCTGACACATTTGCCAACAATCCATTATAATATCAGCACTTGTAATTCTAGATTTTTGGATTGCTGTAGTCCCATATTTCTAGGTACAGCTGAATTGGCTGACCTGTGCATGAACTACTGTTTCTGTACTGTACAGCCCAATTCAGCTTCTACTTCTACAAGTCATTCTGCTGATGTTCTTAATATTACTTTCTTCATCAAAGATTACTCACACAAGTAAGGCTTGCCAGACTAAGCCCTTAACTAGTAAAACTACTGTAATAAAGAAAATGGGATTATGCTTTGGTAGATGCTGTTTAACTAATTTTTTAAAAATCCTCAAGTTCTTTAGGCGCAAGGCCTTTCATGTAAATGAGAACCAGTGGGACGGACAAGGCTCTGTACTTAGCTATGCACAGCTAATTTCATTTTTAATGCTGGCAACAACACTTGTTGAAAACAGCTCTAAGATCTATATTCTCCGATTGAATTAGAATACAAATACCATTTTGTTTTCATTACTGGGTATATTTTCAAAGTTGTTACCCTTCTTCTCAACTATGCTGGCAATATATAGAATCCTCAGGCTTAGCAGGCAACTCGGTGTCTAATGAACCACTATTTGGAACTGAACTTTTCCCTCTGCAGCACATGTGTTAATTTGTTATGTTCCTGTGCAGGACTTGGAATAACTTCTGCACAATATAGAGAAGAAGTGTCTTATCACTTATGACAGGAAGTAAAGAGTCCATCTGCTGTGAAGAAGTTTTCAGCAGAAGAATGTTTTGCGGGTTTTTTGACCCTTCTCGATTCAGATATCCCTGCCACTGCAGATCTTTGCCTTTGTTACAGCAAATATTGTTTGCAACACTAAAATGTTCTCTTGCACATTATGCACCAGCAGGGAATCTGTCGTGACAGTTTAAATCAGCACCACTTATTTACTGCAGACAATCATAAATGGTTTCCATTTTTCATTTACATTTTCAGTAGTTTATAAGAAACCTTCTTGATTTTTCCTTGGGCTGAATTTAAAAAAGTGGATCTGTTGTTCTCTCTAACCATTTATCACAGCTCCAAGTGTTACTTTACTGTGGTTTCTGTATATGGATCACTAATATTTTTCCTGTTCAGGAACTGGTTATGAAGCACAGTATAACAGAGAGAGGATACAGAGTTGATAACTTTATTCATGAACTATTACTGTAACTTAAAATTTCAATTCTGAGCACAGAAAAAGTTAATCATGTTCTCCAACAAAAACAACCGTATAAATGAACTACTGTTCAATCTAAACACAATAATCACTGTGAGAAGTGTGAATTAGGATTTGGAGGAAACAATTCTACATTAAATCCCTCAAAATTTTTTTGGGAGAAAACAATGCAACAAGAAAACCAACAACAAAAACCAACTTAAGTTATCATAATTTCTTAAAACAAGTTTGTAAAGACAAATCTGTCCGTAGCAGTCTGCTGGGTTTGTAGAGTAACAGTGGCACTCCATGGTGAAAATGTAGAACACAGCATAACTTAAGTGAAACAACTGAATTACTGTGAACTCCTTTTTCTTCAGTTCTGCTATTAGTTACATCAGCTGAGCCAGACTGTTTCTACCTTTCTCCTTTTAAATTGTATCCCAGTTTTCTGAGGTAGCATTTATGTTACTTTTCAGAGGTGATGGGAACTGGCTTAATTCTTCTGGTACTTTAAGAGATCACAGAGTCCAAATCATGGTCACAGTTAGGCCTTTTCCATTTTCCCTCCTAAAAGGGTATTTATGTTTGATACTGTTACATTACCACTAGAATGGCACTGTATACTGTTTACCTTTTCTACCTTGGGATCCAGGTAACCCTTGCAATCCTGGAGGCCCCAAAATTCCATGTTTCCCTCTTTCTCCAGGTTCACCTGGTAATCCCTGAGGACCTGTAGCTCCTGAGAGCGGAAAAAAATAATCTGTGATTATGCAAACCTCTTAAATTGTTGATTTTTTTTTTCCCCCCATGCTATGCAACACACTGTGTTAATCAGTGGTACCTTAAAGTGTTTGGGGATGAATGAAGAACTGATGGATCTTGTTCTCTGAGACTGAGCAGACAATTTCTGCTGTCTATAGACACAGAAATAGCTTTCAATACACCCCTTCACATCTCTGATTTCTATAGACTCCTTCACAGAGGGGCCTCCTCAACAGTGCTATCACACTACTTTTTAAATTTTGGTGTTACCTGGTAATCCAGGTATTCCTGGATATCCAGGGTCACCCTTGGATCCTGGTCCTCCAGGTTGTCCTTGGATTCCTGGTGAACCCTTCTCCCCTGGGAATCCACAGAGTCCTTAAAAAAAAAAAAAAAAGAGTAATCTAGCATTTATTTGTTAAAAGTTGCCCATTTTTTGTCTCATGATAAGTTAAAAAACATAAAATTCAGTAAAGGGTTTCTTGACTAGAAAGAGAATCTTATTCAAATATTTCAGATCTTTACATCTGCCTATTAGCAGTGAGTTGTACAGAGCTCACTGGTGATACCTGACAGAGCAGAAATGGCCAGCACGAGAGAGCCAGGCCAGGTTTGATTCCAGTAGGTGTTGCTATGTCCATCAGTGCTGTACTGGACCGCAGCAGACTCCACCTCCTATGCTCATGCCACGCTTGTTGCACACTGGGATGTCTCTTTAGTCCCTGTGGTTCACTACAGAACCACTCAGTATGCACAGGAAGCAGAGCTCCCTCTCTGCTAACAAAACTGAGAGAAAACAAGCTCTTAAATCTGATTCTTTTGTCAGTCAGACACAGGTACCTGGAAATCCTGGATCTCCGGGAGCCCCTTTCCGACCACGTGCACCAAGCAGAGGACTTGGGTCACCTCTCTCACCTGTGGAGGTACAATGACTTCCATTTTATACAAATATCCTTTTCATCCACAAAAGCAAAGCTGGACAATTTTGTAAGATCAGAAAATTTACTAATAGATATTAACAGCTACAAAAGAGACTGAGAGAACACAGAATGAAAATTGCTTTGGCACAGTTCACCTTGATTGCATTTTCTCTTATGGATATTGACTAATTTTCCATATCCATAAGAATGGATTTGTACATGGTTTTTTTATGGAATTTTTAAACTATGTGAAACTGGACACGAATTTATCTTCTAAATTAGTAAGATCATCTTTTAAAGGAAAAAACTGTCACAGGGTATACTGAAATGCAGTTTTTGCTTTCGGGTAAGTCAGACTTGTTTCTAATTACACTCATGTTTTAAGGGAAAACAGGACAGAAGTGAAATTATATTTTCTACTGAGTCCTTGCCATCTATTGCACACACATCATAACAATATTGCTCTTTTCAAAGCCTATCTGTATAAACTCATTACCTTTGCATCCTTTTGGGCCAGTCAGTCCTGGATTTCCAGGGATTCCTGGTAAGCCAACATCACCCTGATTTTTTTAAAAAACAAAATAAAAATGTTTGACATATGGTATGTGTAGCAGGAATAATCTATAAGAGCATTTGGTGCTCTTAGAAAAACTGTATCTTAAGATCAACAGAAAAGCATGTTGTCTTTGTTACATGTCTAACACTGACCACTAACACTTCCAAGAAACTGTAGATTAGACTTGCTAATAATTTTGAATTTGTGCTTTTATACTTTATTCTAACTCTTGGCTCAAACAGCTTAAATTACTCACAGATGGCCTGAGTAATTTGATTTAAAAGGTACCATAAAAATATACCAAATATTGTTGTATGTTACCCAAAATTTACTATAAACATTAATCAGCAATATGTTGTATTGTAACAATAAAAATGTAAAGATTTCCCTATTTTTCCTTTTGAATAATGACCTATAATCAGCAAATCACACCTTATCTCTTCAAAGAAATTCCATACAGTACAAATCAAGCAAAAATATGTCCATTTTACCAAAAAACCTGTGCTTTCTGCTTCATGTAATCTCACTGTCTGTCTACCTAGCACACAAGAAGTGAAGAATTGTACCTTATATCCGTATATATACGTATGTGTGAGTTTGTATATTTGTTCCTGAGCAGTACTGCTTGCCTGGGATCTGCCTGGGGCAAACTGGCACTACAGCCAGAGGTGACTTGGTTTGCTGTGTCTCTTGGCTTGGCCACAGTGAGATAAGAAGGAGCAGCTACACATTAATCTCCTAATTGTGCTGCTGCTGTGTTATGATCTCTGTGGTAAGTGATCTGTCAATCTGTTCATAGGAATAATGGTAAAAACTTGATGGTGCATCTGTTTTTTTCCCCCTAATTAGTGTAGTGTAGCCTGGACTTCCACCAAGTGGCAAGAGAACAAACTCAGAACATGCAGCTGGGAGAGGCCCTTTGCTGACTCCAACTACAGTTCCTGCTAAAAGGTAATCAAAGCATTTAGGTATTAGGCAATTTACATTTCCTACTACACTGACAGTCTCTTCTGAGGGGGAAGATCTAATGGGTGAGTACAATATATGTACCCTTCATCCTATTTCTTAGAGGCAGGAGATAACTGCAAAGTCCAGGACATTTCACTACCACTCTGTTTACCTGGTCACCTGGTTCTCCTTGAAAACCTGTAATTCCTTTAAAGCCTTTTGGTCCTGGGAAACCCAATGATCCTGGAAACCCCATCACTCCAGTGTCACCTTGGTCACCTGGCAGTCCTGGAACACCATTCTTCCCTGGAAATCCTCGGGTGCCTCTGAAACCAGTATTGCCTTTTTCACCTGAAGTTAATTGCAGATCAAGATAATGACCAATAAAGCCAAGCCATTATTTGACACTTATTTTGATTATGGCAACGCTTTCACACTGTGTATTGCCACACTCTGTGTATTGTGTAATTGTCCAAAGAAACTATCCTGCTACTTTAAGAATCCATAAACATGATAAGGTTGCTGGGTGTTTCTGCAGCCATGAGTCCCCACCTGTGAAAACCAGCGATTTATAGCAGATGAATGTGTGTCCAGGCTTTATTTTATGAATCCAGGGCTTTATTTTATGAACTTACCTCTTTCACCTCTAAATCCATTCTCACCAGGAAACCCTGGGTCTCCCGTTTGTCCTTTCTCTAAACGGATGTTAATGTAGCCACTGTCTCCTGGAGACCCTCTTTCACCTTTGAGCCAAAAATATGGAATGTAAGTATATATCATGAATGACATGTCCTGAAAATTAATTTTAGTAATGACTTCACTAATAGAGAAAGCCTTCAAATACTAATTGTGGTTCTCAGTTGTTACACTAGGCTCACTGCTAACAAAATTTATCCTACTTCTCTTGCTTTTTAGTTAATTCAGTAGTAACCCAGGTGATATTAAATCAGAATAATGAAAGATTACAAAAGAGGGCAATTGTGTACTGCCTGTGATTGCAGCTTGGAGATGGTTATTCTCTTTCCTATAAAAAGTAAATATATTCTAACACAGCATCAACATGACTACAGAGTGAAGTGGATTTTTACAAACCTTTTATTCCTATATCCCCACATTCTCCACTAGGCCCAGGCAGACCCATTTCTCCTTCTTCGCCTTTTACTCCGGAGATTCCCACTGTGCCTTGTATTCCTGGGAGTCCTGGGAATCCTTGGGGTCCCTGAATCCCTTTGCTTCCTGGTAATATGAAATGCTTTATTTACATGTTCAGTCTGCTTATACTGTTACTGTCATATTCTAAGGAAGAGTATAAAGCAAAAGCAGGAAGTTCAGAAGGACTCCTTAGGAAATCAGCAAAGGTAGAGAACCAATAGTTGGAGCTTGGCTTCATGCCAAGATTAAACATCTCTTGAAACCCAGATTCCCTTGAAACAAACATTCTCCCCCTACCTGCTGCCACCTTCTGGAGATTTAGGCTACACTTACTACCCAAACTGTTATCCCCAACATGCCAGCAGATCTTGCATGTGGCTACTGGATTATGGGGGCTTCATTCTGCTCCCTGTCCCTGTCTTCCAGCTCAGGGGCCTGGTACCCAGAGACCTATTGGTCTTACATAAGAATGAGACAAAGAAGGCATTAAGTACCTCAGCCTTTTCCTCATCCTTTGTCACTATGTTTCCCCTCTCCCATGCAATAAAGGATGGAGATTCTCCTTAGCCCTCCTTTTGCTGCCAATGTATTTATAGAAACGTTTTCGTTGTCTTTTACAGCAGTAGCCAGATCAAGGTCTTAGTTGCGCTTTGGCCCCTCTAATTTTCTCCCTGCGTATCCTCATGATACCCTTATCCTCCTGAGTTGACTGGCCATTTTTCCAAATTTCATAAACTCTCCCTTTCTTCCTGAGTTCCAGCCAAAGCTCTCTGTTCAGCCATGCTGGTCATCTTTCCTGTTGCTCGTCTTTCAGCACATGGGGATGGCCTGTTCCTGTGTCTTTCAGATTTCCTTCTTGATGAATATTCAGCCTTCCTGGACTTCTTTGCCCTTCAGGATTGCCTCCTAAGGCACTGTTAACCAGTCTCCTAAATGGGCCAATGTCTAAACATATTGTTGTTATTATAGCATATTACAACCTATTACAGTCAGGAAGTAATACATGGAAATAGGTCAGTGCTGTAAAACAGCTAAAGCACCAGGATGCACCAACATGCATTGAACTATTTCCATCCCTTTGATTTTATCATAAGAGAAAGAACAAGGGATGCTATGGTTAATTGACTCTACCCTGCTGCAGGGTCTTATTCTTGAAGCTGAAAAGAAAGGAGGGTGCAAAGTACTTCCTAGTGTTAACAGCAGCAGAAATAGTTTCCTTTACAAGAGATGTGACAGATGAGGTGGTTTGCAGGATGTTTGACACACCTGTTTCTCCTGGGAAACCAGGAGGTCCTCTATTGCCTGGAAGTCCTGGAAGTCCTTGTGAGCCTGGAGGACCTGGGGGACCTTGTGAGCCTGGAGAACCTTTCAGACCTTTGATTCCAGGTGGCCCAGCTAGGCCCCTGTCTCCCCTCTGACCTTTAAAGCCTGGTAAACCTGAGAAAAAGAGCTTTAATCTATGTATGTAAATGCAGGAAAAGGTTCAGCAATTGTATCTAAAAAGTAGAAAGTTTTGGTATAAATTTAAATATCAGCAAACGTGGCAAAATTGCTTGGAAGCTTTATTACCATGTTGGAATCCTGGCCCTGCCTAGATTTATCACTTGGAATGTTTGTTTTCTTGTATTTCTTTAGTGACAGACATATCAGTAGAAGAGCACTTACTAACTTGCAAATACATTTGATATATATGTCTCCTAGCTCTTCCTAAATAACAATTCCAGTTAAGAATAAGGAAGATAAAAGTATCACAGTAGTGTCAGGAGCTCAGTTAAGCTACTGAGGACAACAGAATAAGAGTTAACTCTTCCATTTGTTACTTGATAGTGAACACACTGTGATTTGGCCAGTTAAAGAACACCATGGGAAAGAAAGAAAAGTTGGGAAATATCTGGGATGCACACTCTACATTCCTTGAGTTTAAAGAAATCCGCAAAACATAATGTACACCCCCAGAAATGGGCAGGCCCCATGGAAATATTTGTCATGTCAGCTACAAAAATCACGTGATGAAATCTGCCAGAAAATATGTGCAAAGCTTAGTGCTGTGAGGCAACCCCATGGGTGTGGTATACCTTGAGGTCCTGGTAGGCCCATGGCACCTCTGAGTCCTGGTGGCCCTGGTAAGCCTGCAACACATGGTGGACCAGGGAAGCCTGGACAGCCTGGTGCTCCTATATCACCTTCTGGGCCTCTAAAACCCTTGGCACCTGGAAATCCCGGGGTGCCAGGTTGTCCTGGGAAAAAACAGCATTATAAAATGTTTTAGTTCCACTCCTCACCATCCTTCAGAATTCCTAATTTTAATTTTGAAATTTACATGTTCAGTTACTGTAGTGTCTTAATTGTCCTCTAGTTTTTGCAGTTTGTGAAAACTGGTGCTTTCCTGCAATTTAGAATTGGCTGTTGTGGAAAGCTCCTTTCTTTAAGGAACAAATATGAATTCAGCCCTCATGTCTAGGTAAGGATGAGAGCTTCTGATGAGTAGGAGCAGAGTGGGAGGAGCTCACTGGCCTGCACCAGACACACAGCTCTGGGGTCAGTTCTACAGGTGTTCCCTGCACAGAAGGATGTGTGGAAATGCTTAGGGCTGGGCAAAAGGAAGACCTGTAAAAGGAAACAGCAATATCCTCTGTAAAGTGGGAAGGAAATGCACTGTGGAGATCTCTTTGCAGCAACCAGCAAAACTCCCCTGCAGAAGCAAGGAGTGTAGTGCACAAGACATAGAGGATTTTATTGCATAACTCTGGGCAAAGAAATTCACCCCTCTCTCCCTGAGTGTTCTCCTGCCCTTTTCTAGTCTGTTCAGGTTTGACTAAACAATCTGAGGCAAGGACTATCTGTGTGGCAGAGCAGGAAGCCCCAAGCCCAGATGGGCACCAGGCAGCAAGTAATAGTAAGAATAGGAAGCTGCACTGCTACTCCATGAACTGGGTAAAGGCATCTTTTTCTTCCTGCAGTGCAGATCCCCTCAGTGGCTGGTCAACCTGAACTGTGAAAATGTAAATGTAAAATCAGGGTGTACTGTTCACAGTCACCACGATGGATCCAGTAAGAGGAAGTTTTATCTGAATTAGTACCATCTTTGCTCAGATTTTGTCCTTTAACAAAATGTTTCATAAACTATTTCATAAAAACTGGCCCATACCTTGAAGCCCAGGAATGCCTGGATTACCCCTTGCTCCTTGTGCACCAGGGGGCCCTGGTAGTCCCCTGTTGCCTGGGATTCCCGGAGGGCCATATGTGGTGTCACCTGGAAGACCTTTCTGACCATCTATGCCAGGTGGACCTGGAGGGCCATTTTTACCATCAACTGTAGATCCTCTTTCACCTTGATCACCAGGATCACCAGCTATGCCTCGAAAGCCTGTTGATAGGATTTTTAAATTCAAATAGAGCATAATTCAGGAGGTGTTTGTTTTTTTGTCTGTTTGTTCATTTTCCCCCTCAAGCTGTTATATTATAATTCAAATGTAACCAGATTTAAATTATTACTTTGCACAGAAAAATAACATCATACATTAAATTTCAGGTTTCCCATTTATAGCTAATGATACATGAGGATTAAAGGAGGTAATTCCTGTGGGAAGTGACAGGGGTTTTCTTTGGAGCAGCATCTGTCTTGACTACTGTCACTCTTGTCCAGTTTACTCCCTTTCCTAAAATTTCACTAATTGTTCTCAGTTTTCTGAGAATATTTCCTCTCTGGACACTGAAATTTAGGTTATTGTAGCACCTGCAAAGCTGGAATAAAGAAAGGGATACTGGTAAAGATTTCTGTTCCACTAGCTTTTGTTGAAGTTTGTGTTTTATTCTATATTCTATCCTACAGTGTTCTACCATGGTAGCTATCTTTCCTTGCATTTATATATTACAATCTGACCAGCAGGTCTCCTGGATTAAGAGAAGCACAATTCACCTTCTGGCCCAGGGATTCCTGCTCCTGGCCTGCCTCGACGGCCTTTTTGCCCTTCAAAGCCATTTGGTCCAGGATGCCCTGGGAGTCCTTTTAAACCCTTTGGTCCTGAAAATAAAAAAGAAGTACATAAACTGACAGAGTGCTCAAATGTGCTCCCTGTTCCATAAACAGCAGATTGCAGATCACCAGAGTCAATTAGAAAAAAAAAATCTTTCCTATAACATTTTAATGTTACAGGACATCAATGGTATTAACCCAGTGAATGACAGGTGTCAGCTCAAGTTCTTCTACTCTCCTGTGCTATATCCTGCTTCTGGAATGCTGCAGATGAGCTCAATACACGAATCCCTGTTCTTTCATGTCTGTATAAATGTTTGCTCCCACCCACAATACTGGTGTCAGGGAACTGGGTAATACCATAATAAGGAGCTTGAAAATCCACTATCTCCAATTCTTCTGATCAGGATTTTCAGAGGAATTTCAAATGCTTTGGAGGCGATCACAAGACACGTCTTGCCAGTTCCTGGATGAGTTCTTTGAATTTAAATTAAGTTTAAAAAGTTGAAATAATGGTAATAAATTTTCAGATTTTAGGGCTCAATTTCAACTTGCCATGAGCAATATAGTTTTAGAAATTACAGCCTTGCAGCATATTTTTGCCTTGCACATCTCCAGGTCTTATCTAACTCCAGCCATCTGCATATTTTACAGACTCTCTCATGCATTTTAATTGAGGCAGGACAGAGTTTGAAACTACCTTCACTTAATTATTTCTATGGAGGCAGCCTGCACACCTTTTGATCATGCAAACTGCAGCTGTCTGGCCCTTGATTCTATTAGATGAGTATACTCCTGTGTATTTGCAGTTTTACATTTTCAGACATATATCTGTTGAAAAAGTGGAATACAGTAGCTTTTTAGGATACCTTCTTCTTTTAAATTAGCAACTTAAATTTCAATTAAAATCAAAAATTCTCCTATATATAAACATACCTTGAACACCTTTAAAACCTGGGGGACCTGGATTTCCAGGGTATCGTGATGTGATGCAGACAGTTTCACCTGAAGCAAGAGGGAGAAGAAACTGGCCTATTTAGTTTTAGAATAAATGGAGTCTGAACACTTACTGTAATATTTCTGTGGAACTAACCAACTAGATGTGCAAATGTGAAATTATGCACATTGTTATTTCCATATTATTTAAGTTTTGATGGAGAATATTAAAATATATTTTTCTTGACCCTTTCTATATAATATTGGTTATATTTCAAATTGTTGTAATACAGTTGTATTTTTTAAAGACAAAGGTTTAGTTTTATTTCACTTGTCTTGGAAATTTGTCTTTACAACAGTTTTTAGTGCAAGAAAGAAATAATATTTTCATTTCAATTCTATGCATAGTTCTGGTTCATACATATCACTATCAGTGTAGATGTTTTTGTTTGGCTAAGCACTTTTTATAACCAAAAACCAGACCAAGCCTTAAATATAAGTTATATTTTCCTATAAATTAAGAACATCTTCACTATAAATGAATAACACTTTATGTAATACATATGAAACTGTAATGGATGCCACCAAACATGTATTTTTGCTATTTCATTCTTAATGTAAACAGTCAAAATTACCTTTCTGGCCTTTTGGACCAGGTGGCCCAACATTACCAGTATCACCAAAGTCTCCAGGGCTACCTCTGGCTCCTGGAGGGCCAGGAAACCCCAAACCAGGCAATCCCATCTGTCCTTTTACCCCAGGAGGTCCTGGGAGCCCAGGGAATCCTTTATCACCTGGAAGCGATACTCCAGCATCGCCCTGAAAGAAAACTTGTTGGTAAGAAGTAACAAGAGCTAATTTCTCTCCTCTCTTTGATTATGAAAAAGCACGTTTAGGGGATCATCTGGAGAAATCACTTTCCACAATTAAGAGACTACATGGATGACATTAGTATTTTTAAATATTTAAGGGCAATAGGAACAAAGGGGTTAGTGGATTTTTTGTTTCCTGATCCCATAATATTGGGACACACTATAGGCAGAAATTATATCCAGGAATACCAAAATAAGCAATGATATTTACAAGAAAATAATTTTTCAGTGGATAAAAACTTTCATAACCTTTCATAAGATAATACATTAATTGAAATGGAAAAAAAAAATCTGGGAGAGTCAAACATACCTCAACTCCTTTTTCCCCAGGCAATCCTAGTTCCCCGTCTCTGCCATCAAGACCTCTCTGGCCTGGAAATCCTGGAACCCCAGTAGGTCCTCTTTCACCTTTTAATCCTTAAAATATTTTGAAAAGAAAAAGAAGTATAATATTTACAGTAATTATTTTTTGAGGGGGAGGTGGAGGTTATTTCTTCTTAGGTAAATGCTGAATAACCATTCATCATATCTGCATGATAATTCCCAGTCCTCGAATTCACATTTCCTTGGTGAAGTATTTTAGGCTTAGGAAGGCTTTAGTTGGACACCTCATGGAACAACTTGGTCTCTCTGTAAAAGACATGTTTAGAGGCACCACAAGAATGTGGCTTTTATTTGTGCTATACAGAGAGTTAAAATATTGAAATCAGTCTGTTTTATTCTTAATTTCAGTGAAATCAGGCTGTAGCAGTGTCATATGATGCAGAATATTTGCATCAATATTTCCCAAAGGTTTTATTTTCCCCCTAGATTTCTCTTGCACTGATATTTATGAAAATGTAACTTTTGCTGTGTCAAGAAATCCTTTGCAAATAGAAGAAAATGTTTTCCCCTCTCCAACATCTGTAAAAAACCCACAGGCATCCAAAGCTAAGCTAACTTTTTATAAACAATAAGATGGACAATCTTTTGTTTGAATAATTAGTTTAGCATTTCTAACTAAGCTTTGCCTTCAGATTGCTGTAATTTATTGCTCTCTGTTTCTTTTGCTTTTGCAAATCATAACCATAACTGTGGAGAGGTTTTGATCTATTTAATTACAAGAATTTCAGTTGTGCAACTAGTGGCCTATTGTTTCTCTTCAATGCCTGGTCAAGAGTAATTTTTAGAAATAGGAGCAGGAATCTGAATAGTCATTGAAACTTTGAGTTTTTCCCAAGAAGGATGTTGGTGGCTTAAGTTGAGGCAACAGCTGTGATATTGATATATGACACTTCAGGAGGTGGTTCTGTACAATAGTATTTGTATTCTGTTGAGTCTTTGCTATACAAACCTCTCTAAGACCCCAACTATCAATCACAGGACATGAAAAATCATTTCTTAGCATTAATAACACGCTGTTAAAACTGTTTTATGGCTCAACTATAGAATAAAAACCACAAAATGCTGTGTTGATCTTGTGTTTAGCAAGAAGAGATGGTACCAAGAAAGCAGTTTGGACATACATGCACTCTAGGTTTCAGTAACTTACTGAACTAATGAATTTATTAAAGAGTAGATGAATATGTTTTTCTCACACTATTGCCTAGACATTGTATAGGAAACAAACAGGCTAAAGATAAAATGTGTGGTTACCTTTTATCCTAACTCTTCCTGGATCACCCTTCTCTCCTTTTTCACCGTGCTGTCCAGCAGAACCAGGGGTCCCCTTAACATTTACAAGGAAAAAAAAGGTGTCAGTTGTCTCCAGCACAGAATCAATGTGGGAATTGAGGGGAAAATTAGATATCTATCTCTTGCATGGTCTCCCAAAACCAACCAGTTAAGGTGACATGTCAAAAAGAAACACTTATCTTTTCTGATGATTATAAAGAGGTGTGTGAGTGGCACCTGGCCTTCTCAGCCTGACTCTGCCAAATGTATGGATACACAACTAAAATAATTTGTAAAGCTTGAAGATTTGGGTCCACGGCTGTAAATGCAATATTAAAATCCAAATGACTCACAAACTGTTCCCACTGCAGACTTCAACCCACAATCCACTGAGGAAGGGAATCTCTGGAGTGTGGTGACTGCAGGATGAGGTTTTCCTCCCAGAACTGAACACAGCAGCAAGTAAGTGATGCTTTTTTTCTGAATGAAAACCCACAAAGCTGCCAATAAGAAATTTCATCTACATCTAGTTAGGTAGGTGTGGTGAGAAGAATCTATGACTTGACAGGTTTAGAGGAGAAAAGAAGTGCTTTTCTATATTCTTATGCTGATCTGTGTTCTCAGCTCTCCAAGCAGAGTGCAGTTTTCATGTAATCATTGGTGATCTTGCAGCAGTGCATGTGGGTAAATATATTTTACCGCAGGAAATTTAAACAAAAGTAAAAGGCCACTAAGGTGCAAAACTGGGGTATTATTTAGCCAGCTTCCTCTGTTATTCAAATTTTTTCACTTAAAAATAGGTGGAGAGAATATAATGTGATTGTAAATCAGGACACTTTTAAATCAGACAGACTTCTGAAAAACATGTATCTGAAACTAGCAGTGGCTATTTCTGACAATGTTTAGATCTTTATGTAGGCAGAGATCAGTAAGTAGTGTTTGAAAGGAAAAATTAGATATTTGTGAAGAAAGGAGAGCAGAAAAATGGAGACAAATGGTCCATTAAACCAAACATTTCTGTATCAAAGTGAATTATTTCCATCCAAAGTGATTATTTTGTTCTTGTTTCTCACTTAAGTAACCTAAGAACAGAAAATATTCAGGACAAGGCTTCAAGCTTTGCTTCAAAACCACAGGGACTAAATCATACTCTCAAAAGTAACAAGAAGATCAAAATCTCACATAATCCACACAGGTAATAGTGTTTTAAGAAGAAAACAAACAAACAAACAAGAAACCCACAAGAGCAAATGTAAAGCTTGTAATGAAACCATTGGCACTAGAATTAGAAGCCCTTCCACATCCTTCCTTCAGACTCACAATGGTTTTGTTTGCTTTTTTTTTTTCTTTTGAAAGAAAACATTCTGGAAACTTTTAAGCAATTCCTCATGTGCAAAAAGGGTTCTGCTATTAAAACCTCAAAAAACCCCAACAATAACAAAAAAACAGCAAACAAAACAAAACAAAAAAACCCCAAACAGCACAAAAACCTCCAAAACACCTCCCCCAAACAAAAAAAACCCCACTAAACAAACAAACAAAAAAACCCCAACCATAATGCAACAGTCATAAAGCAAGGCATATCTGCCTGTATTTTCAAAGAAATTCCTCTCACACACAAGAAAGTATATTAAAAAAATCTCTCTTTGGCATTATTTTGGTATGCAGCATTCTGGATGTACGTTTTGCATGTCAGACCAGAAAAAGTGGATCAAAATCACATCAAGTCCAATAATTTATCTTATAAAGTGTTTCTAAAGCAGTTAGGTTAAGTGGTGCTTTGAATTATTGCTTACTGTGGGGAATGAGATAAACTATATGAAGCACATTAAAGAAAATAAGTCTGTTTCCAAAAGTAATAGCTCATTTCATTAGACTGTAACAAGCAAAAGTAGATGAAAGTTTCAGATAGTTTTCCAGGGCATTTTCTCCACTACTCTGCTTAAATGCCTCCTGAGCTGAGAGGTAACTTCATGTTATTTATTTACCAAAATTCACGAAAACTACTCACAGGGAGCCCTGGTGACCCCATTGCACCAGATAAGCCTGGGTCACCCTTTTCTCCGTATCTTCCAGGGTATCCCATTTGTCCTTTCTTTCCTTGAACACCTGGAGGTCCTTGCACACCACGGGGACCAGGAGGACCAGCACGACACGAGCAGAGGCCTTGACTTCCTATATGAATGTGTCAAAATTACAATGAAAAAGTTGCAGAATTAATACACAAAAAATAATGCTGCCCTTTCTCTTTTCTGTGTGAGTAGTGCCTGGACCATTTTATCTCATTTGATTCCCTTCAAAGAGGTGAAGCATTATCAGCACTAAGTAACTGCTGCACTGACATCATCTACTGACTTACAAGTCCCAGTTCCAACTGGCCATTTAACTCTGCACTTTGATGGGCCTTATCCACCAAGTTACCATAAACTTCTTGCACATTTAGATCTGACATAACTGGCAAAGGTCTCATATTCAAATGTTTTGTTATCCAGGCATGCTTACCCTTTTCTCCTTTTGCACCTTTTCTTCCTGGAAGGCCTATCTGACCTTTTGCTCCAGGTTCTCCAGGGATACCTCTGTCAGTACAGATCACACCTTTGAAAAAACAAATTGTACAGCAAGTATAAATCAGGTTGACTGTTTCCGCAGCTTAGGTCGTGTGTTCTCCTCTCCCTTATCTTGTTATACTCACGTGAAAGGTTAGAGATCTTATTAAATGCTTTACAAGTTGTTGCTTATAGATTATACTACAAGAGTCACTGTGACTCGAGTCGATGTTGACACGTGGATTTTCATTGCCACTGCTACTGTTTTCCACTTAAAACTTTATTTTTTCTCTTCTAAAGGATGCTGATTTGGGTTTCCTCCTCAGTTTGCTGTATTTTTAACTTCAGGTGACATATTTTTAGAGAATTTTTTTATATGTGTTACTTTTGTGGGCTTAAATCACCCAGAAAACGATGAAAATCTTGAAATCTCACTCATCAACAGCTAATAGGAAAACGTGTTTTCAACATCCCATGTAAAGTCTGATATATCTGCCAAAATGAACTTTTCACCTCTATCTTTTTTGTAGGACCAACAAAAGCAATGGATCTATTAACCTGCAGAATTATATTCTTAATACATCAATTGCTGTTGAACCTACTGGGTAGTCCAGGTAAGCCTTGTCTTCCTGGCTGTCCTGGTAGGCCTGGTGGTCCAGGAAATCCAGGTCTTCCTGGGATTAATTCACCTGTTCCAGGCAAACCAGGGTCACCTTGAAAACCTTGAGGTCCTGGTGCCCCACTTACTCCTGGCAGGCCAGGCAGACCTATAAAAAAAGAAAGGTGTAAAGCCCATACAGCTTCAAAGTGATTACTGTGAGATATCAAGGAGGAAACACAGACCATGCAGAACTGCCCTGAAAAAGAGCTTCTATATAACAAAGACTTAAATCTAAATCTTCAGGTTTTCCAGGATCCCCAGGAAAGGAGACTTCTGCTTTAGACTTTAAAATGCTTCTTTTCCTCCTCCCCTCCATTATCTCTTTTCCAGATATCCCAGTTATTCTCATTCCTTATATAGAGCAAACTCATCCTGATCACTTGCCTTTATATCTTTTTGAGATGAAGAACAGAATTTTGGAGCACAGCACTCCAGATAAAGGCATACCGTGGGTTTACAGTGCATGGTAATATTCTCCTTAGCCTTTTGTTCCTTTTCTAGTATCTCCTAATGTTCTGCTTGGATAATTTTCATTCTTTTCTTTGGCCACTAAGTGCCCAGTTAATATTTTTAATGAACAATCTGTAGAGCTCAAATCCTTACTGTTGGTGGCTTTCATCATGCAAGAACAAAGTAATGTTCTTTTAGTTGCTTTCTCTACTACTGCTATATAGTTCATATTTTATCCCCTACTTCTCTTACTTGTTCCATCAAGTCCTGGTCTTCCTAGCAGGCCTGCAGGACCCATTGGTCCAGCTGACCCCACATCACCAACAGGACCGGGAAATCCGGGATCTCCTCGTGGGCCTACAGGGAATTATAAAAACATGTGAGTCAAACACCTTATTGACAGCTTAAATCTAAATAAAACTGAAGCCAAAATTATAATTGGGAAACTACATAAGAGTAAAACAATTTATGAAACACTTTTAAATCTGTAACAATTTAATTTTAAGGTGGGAGGATTTGGTTACTTTTCTACGGATTCCAGCCCATTTTGTGGGCACATTTTTAACTTTTCATCACTCTGTAGTAGTATCTTTGTGCTACATATTTCAAAATGCTGAGAGAAATGTTTGCCCAAAATAAAAAACACTTGGCATTTAAAATAAATATGCATCTCATGTTATCCCCATTTGGAAGTGCACACGGGGAGGTCATTTCAGGATTGTCTTGGTTGAAATTATGCAAATTTTTAAAAGTATATTTTCAAAATTGCTACAATTAATAAAATTTAAAATTGCAATTACATACTGATAAAGAAAACCTGAATCAGATATAAACAGCTTCATGAAATTGGAGAAACAAAATATTGGTACTAGTTGTGTTCTCAGTTCTGCTAAGGGCCTCTTTCTCTGAAGATCATATCCAGTCATACACCATGCACATGATTAAATGTTACTTGAGATATTAAGCATGGGGTTAAGTCTTTTATTGCATGGGCTGGAAAGTCAATGGGAAAAAATGTAATTAATTTTTGGGGAGTTCTGCTGAAATAAGGTTTTGTTGTAATTTACTTCTGTTCACAATCAGCTTTTGCTGCAGTAGGAATACAATTTATGGTGACTTGTCTGTTGAAACATTCTCACAATAAAGATTCCCCAAGTGTTACATGCAAAAGGCAGCAAACTTGGTTGTTTCCCATTGTTTCCTGCTATGAAATAAAATTTCCACACATCTTTTCACTGATTAGATGATAAAGACGGAGATAGAGGGAGCTGGGACATAAAAACCCAGCCTGAGGTTTAGGTAGGCAGGTAATAAGACTGACAGGTATTCTCATGGGGGTTCTAATTCCAAGATTTTGCCCCTACTATGCAATAGGAAGCTTAATTATAATCTAAAAGTCTGCGTGTTGTGGCAATTCTGAAAATAGGAATCCTAAATTACAATGAGTAGACAGGTTTTCTTATCTGCCATCCATCTGCTTACTTTTCATAGTTTTTTCTTAAATATGCCTAGGTCCAATAACTAGAGACAGTTGTGACTGTGTGCACAAAGATCTTTCAGACAAACATTTAATCTGGAATTCGTATGTTTAACTTGGTTCCAGTGAGATCAGTGCGACAAACAAGTACGGCCTGTGGCCACCAGGAACTGAATGGTTTAGGATCCTGTTCCCGAATCCCTTGGAAGTGACCAAGTGACCACTTTGACACACCTCAGCAAAACGGGTCCCACACTTTATACAGCAGAAAGACTGGTTAAAACTAGATATAACCTTTTATAGGAAGCGGTGGAGTTCCAACAGCTCCAGGAGGACCTGGGGGCCCTTTTTCTCCTGGATCCCCCTGTAAGTCCAACAATAAATTTTATTGATAGATACAAACATAAAATGCACCAGCATGTAACTGAAAATTTCAACAATTGTAAGGTGTGTAAGGATGTGACACGCATCACCTGGGAAACTTGACTTTGACACTTTATAGCACTTAAAACCAAGCAAAAAGATTTAAAATAATCATTATCTTTCATGATACCAGTGACTAAACAGCAATATACCTATCACACATATCTATTTGACTCTCCTGAACATGTGACTGCTGTATTTGATTTCATTCATTTATTGTGAAGATGACTCAGTTACAGTAAATCAGTACCCATTTAATTGAGAGACTCTGATTTAACAACCAAGCTATAATTATTTGCCTTAAAATTCTATATCAGAATTAAGAAATTACTTCTATGATGACTGATAAGCTTTAAGAAAAATGGTTTCACACTCTAACAGATATCAATGGTAAGAGATACTCAAAGCTTTTATAAGTTTAAAACATCTGCATTAGGGAAACATAAAAGCGGCTCCTAATGGAGAGGAAAATCACTTCTGCTTGGAGGATTTCTACATTAGCTTGGATTTTGATACTTAGAATTGCAAGTGAAGTGGACTTTAGGGGAGGTCTTTTATGTGGCAAATTGTATTAAGACTTTTTGCTTTGTAGATTAGGATTCAGCCCTGCTCTTTCAGCAAATGAAAATAAGAATGTCAATGTGGGAATTGCGTAGTGAGGCTGCATTCCTGGGACTGGAGTTCAGGTCCTTTTAGGACACAGACAAGGAGGACTGGGACTGCACAACTGGATATCCATTCTTACATAAGTTAAAACAAGGAGTCCATCCCTCTTTCTGGGCTTTTTTTTTTTAAAAAATAATATCTTTCCAATAATTAAACTGTTCTGGAGCTGTCACTGGCTGCTGTCCTCTTGACCTCTGTTTTTTTCCTTTGACTGTATCTTGCAAAATGAAAAAATATCCTTGTGTCATCTTTGGCTCTTTTAAACAGGAACATAAATTTGTCTTCCCTAACGACATAGAAGAGCCTTCTGTGTGGCAAAAAAGCAAACCTAGCATTTTCCCTCTGCTGATAAATTTACGAAGGATTTTGAGATTTAAAACTAATTTAATGATGATAAAAGTATGAAAGATTTGTACTATAGATGTATTTGGCCCAAGTCTTATATGATTTTCATAGTGATTTTAAAATGACACAACCAGAACACAAGAACATACTGAGGAGTCAATGAGCCAAGGTCAAACATTTCTGTTCTTGGGATCTCCTTAAGTGACAAATTCTGATTGTGGTCTGTTTTTAGGCTGTCAGGTCTAATGACCCCTTCTGGATGGCAGCTTCATTTTGCCTCTGTTTTCACTGTTGATACACTCCTATATAATGGCCTGAAAATGTTTGGATTATTTTGTTGACTGATACTGTTTTCCCATAAAAAGTTTAGGAGACTCAATTTACCAACATCTTATTGAAAAAAAATAGTGTTGCCAGTGTCCAGACTTGGGGACCAAAAGGTATGGCAACAATTCCTTGAAGACCATTCTTTGCTTTTAGCAACAGTTAATATTTTTTTAAGATGAGATCTACTTAGAAAGCGACTGAGGTTTTTTTTCTGAGTCTCTATATCTTAAATCTGAATCCATCTTAGATTCTCTCTGAGCATGTTTGTTTCAGAAAAATCTATGTGAGGACAGGCTATTCCCAGGTGTGTTTTTAATCATAATCTTGTTCCTCCAGTCTATGTAATTTTCAGCAGATCATAAGCAACAGCTGGTGAGGCCAGATGAATAGTTGATGAAGTCTAGATAGATCCGCTCCTTTCAGGAACAATCAGATTTCTCCAATTGTTTCCCAAGCAAAACTAAAGCATCTGTGCAATCGCTCAGAATTTTGCATATCTGTCTGAGTACACCTGTTTTTTATTAAGTTGTGTCTATATTTGATTTGTTTGCTCCTTGGATTAGCAATTGTAATTTCATCTTTGTGATTCATCACTGCAGGGCTTCACACTTTTCCCTAGAATAATCTACCAACAATTAATTATTTTTTGGTTACTGTTTGTTGTGTTGATTTATGGCTACTCAGACTGTGGGCTAATCAGTGGAGTCTGAAGAATGTCCTATTCTGTCTATAAAATTACTTGTCTCAAGTCTGTTAATGATGCCCCAAACTAAAACAATATGTACATCAGGGTGAGAATTTTTAACAACAAAACACTTAAGGTTCGATTCTACTTTTTAGGAGTAATGGACTGCAATGAATCTTCTGTTTAAGCATGCAATGTTTCTGTCTAATTAGCATCTAAATGATCCCCCATTGTTGTGAAGCTGATAATGGGCAAATGGGAGAAAAAGTGACATATGTGGGCAATTTCTTCCCCCCAAGTATGACCTCATAAATGAAATCTTGGCTGAAAAAGTTGATTTAACATTCTCTTGGCAGGCCTAACTTTGAAACAAGTAAGTCTGTGACTAAACCAGATGTTTTTATTGTACTTTTACTTATTTACGTCATGTGTTTGTCATTTCTCATTTGTAAACATGCTTCTTGAAAAGCTGTTTGTTGCTTATGACAAGTTTGGACCAGCCTCAGTTTACTTCCTTGTGTCATCACAGATTATGTACAGTGTGTTCCAGTCTTAAAATTCGGTTTATAACAGAGGTGATTCTTGCCCAAATCTCTTTCAGGAAATTTACTGTTTTATATGCAGCTTTCCAAAAAGATTATTTCAGAGGGAAATAAACACTCCTTGACTTTGGTATTCCAGAATATTTAGAGCCAAGTTCATTAGTGTCAAAATTTCTGCAATACTGTTTTTGTCCTCTGTACTGTGGTGATTACCTTTTTATTGGTGATTACCTTTTTCAGCCTTGCTGTCTCTAGTGATGATTCTTTCATCCACCTTCTGGTTTGCAGCATTTTACTTCTCCTCTTGCTCGTATATGCTGACCACTTGGACCCTATCCCAGCCACTCCCTAGCCCTTCCCCTCTGGCTGGACTTATTGCTCCTTTGTTCCCTCTAGAGGAGCATCCAGAACTGCTTTTTCCTTCTAAGTGTGCTTTAGCATTGTAGATTCCATAGAAAATACAATAATTCCCTTCATTCAAGTGTTTGTTGTTACCCAGTGTTACAATATGATCCAGCAGTCAGAATTACAGTATCATAGGTTCTGCAGCCTGCAGAAGACAAATGGAAAGCAGCATGTATTGTAAAATAAAAAAATAGTTAGTGTCATCTAAGTGAGCAAAAGTAGGGAATGTTTAACCACAGGTGGTGTGGAGTCCAACTTCCATTCTGGTAAGCATCTTGGAACAGCTACTTGTGTGAACAGGTTGAGTGCATGCAAGAGATTCTGGTAAATCACTCAGCTGTTTGAATGGAATTTTGTCACCTCATTTGGAACCAGTTTTCATCCTAGTTTATAGGATTGTACTATTACCTAAGTAGCAGGTTCCTTTACCTCACATACCTCTCTGGGGAATGCCTTGTGTCATTCATGACAACCATGAATACCTTGCAGAGTTCATGGGTCAGACAGCTATACTGGTAAAGGTAACTACTGGCAATCAGGATTAACAATTCCTGTGGCATGCAAGATAGAATTCCCACTCTCATATGCACCAGGTAGGAATGTTTACTTACACTGTTATTTACTACTGTGATGTTGAGTAACTATGACCATCAGGAAAACAGTAAATTTTTAAAAGACATGATGATTGTATAAAAGGAAATGGTCTGATAATTGGGTACATTTTGGAGGAACTGGAGGAGCATCTATATAGGGTTGTGTGCTTGTGTGGTGGTTTTTTACCTGTATGCCTGGATAGCCAGGTTGTCCAGGAAAACCAGCAAATCCTGTTTCACCCTGGAAAGGATCACATAAATATAATTTGATTAACCTGTTAAGACATTAAAATAATTAAAACCCTGTAAGGCAGTCAAACAATACTGTCACAATCTAATTGCACCCACAGTTTGTTTCAGAAAATTCCCTGGGTTTGTACAAGAGATGGTATGTTTTATAGACTCTCCTGTGTTAAAAAACCCACAACATGTATTACCAGGTAATTTAGACAGTGGTCAGCAGATTCAGCTTAGCTGGGGCACAGAACTAGCTCGAACACATACCAGCAGGCTCTAATAGACTGTCTGCTTAATACAGCTGAAATTGGTTTGCTGCCTGCTGAATGATCCTCTTAAACTATTACTGCATGGAAAGCAGCTGCATATCAGCTTCTCTTTTTATGATTTACTAATACACTCATCCATCCAGTAGTCAAACTCTTTAGGTAGGCAAAAGTAAAGACCGTAGTAAAACCTAATTTTGCAGATAAAACAGTCACCTGGAACATAATTCTAGAGGTGAATATCTGTACATTCGAGTGATTTATGAATGGCATGATCATTACCTCAACTAGATTTGAAAATAAGCTGGGGAGAGAAGATAGGAAAAAGGGAAAGATATAGATCTATATACATACATCTATTGTTCTTTACCCCAGTAAGATGTTTTAAGTTCACAAGTAAAATTTAGCAGACTTAACATCACAACTGGAATTTCTTGAGCCAGAAAGATGAATAAAACATGCAGATAACACAAAATTACATAATGTCACCATGGCAAACGAAGTTAACATGCTGCGTAACTTTTCTGTCATGCTGTATGTCTGTCCCACTAACTTTCCCTTCTCCTTGCAACTTCAGATTCCATAAGCAAATTTCAGCCAAATATCAAGAGAATGGCAGAAATTCAAAGCCACAGAGATCATACAAATTCTGTGGCAACAGGTAGCAGAAGAGAAAGGAAGGAATGCAATGTGAGCTATGAAGTATGTGGAAATTCCAAATCTGCACAAATCCACAGAAAACCAAACCTCACTGATCCCACTGTTCAGGGAGCTGCTTATACTTTATGCTTCGTACCTTCATTCCAGGAAAACCTGCAGGTCCATAAGCACCAGGATGACCCTGATAAAAGCAAGTAGAATGTGAGCTAAAACCTTAAAAACTTATTCAAAATTAAACCTATTCAGAACTGCTGAGCAGTTAACGTAACTTAGATAAATATTACTTGGGATATTTCCAAAAACTTTGCAAAGATTTTTCAAATAGTTGCTATGAGAAATGGACACAAATCTGAACTATAGATCAAAGCAAATCAGTCAGGTCTTCACTTAATTTTTTTATCCTGTTGCACCAAGCACAGCAGTTGAGGTGTTGCTCCATGTGAGCACCGTCAGGCAAATCAAGCACAAGCTGCTGTAAAAAAGTGCCATTGATACGTATGGAAAACACTAAAATTACTGTGTTAGTACTGTGCTACTCCAGAGCAGCTTTGTGCAGCTCTAAATATTTAGAGGATAACCCTGGAGATTTACTTTCTTTCCAAGGACAGAAAGTCTGTATGAGCTTATGTTTGTCTGAGACAGGGTGCGTGCCAGGGCAAGACTCCTAAATATTCTATAGAGGAAGCATGACAGACTAGTTAAAAAAAAAAATCCTTAAAATCTTTCTTAAGAATGCAAACTCAAATTGCCAAATATATTATGACTGTAATTATAGTGAATTTGTGATGTAATTTATTCTGTGACTTCCTTACCCGCAATCCAGGGAATCCAGGAAGGCCTTTTTCACCCTTTTCTCCTCTCCCAAGTATACCCTGGAGCATTCAAAATAGTTTATTTAAACAAGATGCTCAGCGAAGTGTGCCATAAATTTTAATAGTTGTGCATGTTTATTAAATGATATATATGGATATATATGGTTGATGGATCCTGTCTCCCTTGCCAGGCTCAGTCACAGGAGGTTACTTCATGCAGCATCACTAAGCAGTGCCTCAGTAACCCCAGCTATTTGAGGAACCTGCTCTGGCCTCTTCTCCAAGCTTCAGGTGCTTTCAGCTGCTGAATTTTTTTTATTTTTTTTTTTTAATTTCAGTTCTGTGCATCTTTTGAGCTGCATCAGTTGATTTCTCACCTCCTGCTTATGACTAACAAGTGTATTATCACCTACATGGACCAGTAGTACTGCAGCAAGCATATAAAGTCCATCTTTTTCAATGTAAATCTGATATAAAAAGAGCAGCTTTATCCTCTTTTCCAGTGCTAATTAACAGTGGTCTTTTTATGACGAAAATGAACTTCCAAAAACGAGTGCCAGACTTACAACTCAGATATGTGATGTTCAGGCTTCTCATTTCTTCTGCTTACAAAGCTAAACAAGATTTTAACATAAAGTACACTCATTCTTTTGTCCCCATTTATCCTCCATTTTTCTGAGATATGGTAGTTTCCTGCCTGTGGATTTTCCTCCTCCAAATCTATCAGCAATGAAGACTCTAGAATTTTTTGTGGCTGCTTCTGTTCTGCATCCAGGAACTGGCCCATCAATGTTTAAATTACTCATGCTGACAGAAAGAAAAGAAAATGTACAATAGACAGTAAAGAGCAACTCTCTCCAAACAGGTGGCTCTGCCTTTTCTACCCTTGAGGATATCCATAATGTGAAGTTCAATTGTTTCCATAACATACTGAGGTAAACATACATCATGCTCCATTAAGAACACATTTAGATCATGTCTGTGTCTCTTCTTGAGGAAAAATAATCTGTGCTTTTATTTTTTTCACAGTTCCAATCCACTATGTGTCAACAGCCCAACTGGAAACAAGGCTGACCTTTTGCTACCAGGCAACATTCAATAGGTAGGTATAAAACAGGCTCAGAAAGATTTTCCAACAGATTTTTTGCTCTCACATCGATTTAGGTGGTGATTAAATTTCACAGCAAAAATGCTGTGCTTTAAAAGATTAACATAATAACCAGAGAAGGACTTTGCCAGTACCACGGGGAAAAAAACCTCCCATTACTTACTTTGGGTCCACGTGGCCCTCTGTATCCTGTTACCCCAGGTAATCCTTTTTGGCCCTACGTATAAAAGGAGAGTTTTTGTGTATATTAATATGCCTATGTGCTGGTTAATTTTCTTTTAAGTCTTGGTCTGAAAAACAGTATTTTGTTAAGCATTGGGTCTGTTTCTCTAGGTGCCCTAGGCACAAGAAAAACATTTATGTACTGATCTTTATTTCTGTTAACACTGTCAAACCAGCATAATGACTGTGGGGTGAGATAGACGTATGTTTTCTCTTGCAAGAACCTGCAAATCAGGGCTTTGCTCCTACAGTCATGCATGACAGTAGTTCTTTATTGTTTGCTGCTCTTCCTGGTTGGATATAGGTATTCACAAATATAAATCTACACTTTTGTGCACAGCCCCAATCTGACTGGGATGCAGGGCTGGTTTCATGGTCATGGCCATGTAATGTGTTGCACAGCAGCATATGTCACACTTCCCAGCAACGTGGGGAGTTTATGTAGGTTCTTTTGGTCCTTTCCCTCTTCCTCACACACCTGTACAGAGCAGCCATTTGCATAATCAAAGCCTAAGATCCAATATGTGAAGCCTACCAGTTCCCTGAGCTGAGGCTGCAGGAACTGGCAATACCAACTTCACCTTTTTCTTTGTGTATTTGGGCAAATCAGACTTGAGGACGTAGTGGCTCCAGTACAGGGCTCTGTAAAGCAGATGGGGTTTTTTTAAACAACAGGGGTTACGAATATTCTAATGTTTTAAGCCACACAACTGTGGCTATAGTAGGTGTGATATTGAAGAAGTACAAGTTGCCCAGGAAAGTTGTGGGCACCATCCTTGGTGTTCTAGGCCAGGTTGGATGAGGTTTTGAGCAATGTGGTCTAGTGGAAGGTATTACTGCCCATGGCAGGTGGGTTTGGAACTAGATGATCTCTAGAGTATCTTCCAACCCAAACCAATCTATGATTCTGTGGTAAATAACAGGAACTTGCAATAAAAATTGACAACAAAATCCCACATATTTTTTATATTAAAAGAGCGCCCTAAAAGGGTTAGGGTTGATAGATCAAAACTGTACATTGGAGTATAGTTTAGCAAAGATGTGCAAAATTAAAAGTGTTAGAGAAGAGCCACAAGAGAGATTTAATAGCACAGTAATGAACTTTACCTGAAATGCCTGAAATATGATTTTCTAATGACAAAAAGTGAAGAAAACTAAAGCAAAGGCAGTATCTCCTTTCTGCATCAAGACAGTCTTCCCTCAAGCACATGAGCTAAAGTACACTTCGGGTCTCCTCTCCTGAAAGTTTGTGGGAAGGGTGCTGAACAGCCTTCAGGATTTCTGCTGAAGCTGATGGTTTCTTACAGAAACATAGATTTGTCTTATCCCATCCTTGCAAAAATTACATTGCAGGATTGTACTTGCCAAGTTGAGCACTGTTAAATACGATGACAAATTAACACCTTTTCTCCTTTGAACAGCTGAGCTCCAGGAGGTCCAACTAACAGTGGTAACCCAGGTGGCCCAGGAAGTCCAATGTCGCCCTGTGGAAGCCAAAGGAGAGACATTCTGGGCCATGAACTGTTTCAGTGAGACTCAACTAGTTCTCCTGTTGTGCTACAGCACTACATATTTCTGTACTCCTTGGAAATGTACTAATTAACTGCAGAGAAATAAAGGTTTGCACTGAGATCTGTAAACCTCTTTACCATCTTCCCAAGATAAGGTTGACAATCTAATTTCCTATTCTCCTCATTCATTAAAAATAATGTTATGGCCAAGGAAATAAATGAGAACTCATGGCTTCTGCTCCAAATCTGCTGTGCAGATAGTTAGAGGACTGTCAAATCTCTTGTGTATATACAGTTTCATATTCTAGACCAAAGCCTTTGAGCACAAGGCCTTGTGAGTGTAAAATGAAATTATTGATTTGCCATGGAAAGTTGTGCATGTTAGACACTTGCACAAATTCTAAGAACTGATTGGACAAATTCATAGAAGAAAAATCAAATATTCCCCATTGGGTCAATAAATCCTGAGTATACTAATATAGGTGGAGACTGGTAGAGGAACTATTATTATGTGTTTGTCCTTTTCTTACACTCTTTCCTTTGTATCTGTTGCTGGACACAGCAAGAGATGAGATTCAGTGAGTTCTGGTACAGGCACACTCACTGGAGGGTACTGGTGTGATTATTTAGGCAATGCCTGTACAGCAGGTAACTGCTATGCAAATGCTAACTAACATATTGATTGTTGCTTTTCAAAATCTCCAGAATATGCTTGATTCCTGCATGCAGCTCACTGAAGGAATCACTTCTGCACAGAATCAATTGATTCAATAACTTGTATTGCTCCTCCTTCCATTCTAACATGAGTAGCGGGAGCAAAAGCCACAAATGAATGAGTTCCAGGGAAGCCAACAAGACTCTATTACACTTCTAATTCTACAGCAATAATATATTTAATATTATTTAGTTTCTTACCGGCTCCCCCTTTTGTCCATCCACTCCAATACCTGGATTTCCCTAATTGACAAAGAATGTACACAGTTTGCACGTGATCAGAAAATGCTGATATTAGAATTTAATCAAGTAACTCTCATGAAAATCTTGGTAACAATAAACATAAGGAACACTTCAAATAATTGTATAAATTACTCCATTATTTCATAAAAACTTCAGAAGAAGTAATTGCCTACCTGTTGACCTGGCAAACCAGGGTAACCTGGAATACCCTTTAAAAGAGAGTGAAGACAAGTTAGTATATCTGATTTAGAGACAGCTTTGCTTTGAAAATTACCTGCTCTTGCCGGTAGGACCTAGCAGCAGAATTTTCCCTTGGGATGTACCTATCCCAAAGTGCTATTTACTTCACTTGGTCACTGCTTTCGGGATGGCTGAACTCTGTTTTCCCCCTTTCCTGTCTCCCATAGGTGGTCTTGGGGAAAGGGAATAAGCAGAAAGCACTAGCAGCATTCCACCATGGCCACGGACTGTCAGGATGAAATGTGTTCATGCAGACATGGGAAGGAGCAACATATGCTCCAATTCCTCAACTTCTGAACTCATAAGGTAAAGAAAAAATCCATTTTTTTTTTTATCACCTGTCTCAAAAATTATTTCTAGGCCTTGATTCACATTAAGGCAGGTTCTAAAATTGCAGAATTCATGCATATCCAAAAAATATAAGGCTGTTTAACTGTGTTGATCTTACAGGCAAGCCTGGATGGCCTGGGTATCCAGCTGGGCCCGTTGTACCTCTTGACCCTCTAGGTCCCTGGAAAAGATGGTGAAAGGTCTGTTTGTGAAAATACCAAGAACTTGACCCTTTTTCCACAAAACCAGCCCCTCCAAAATGCCTACATCACATGGACTCAAGTCTGCTGGCCTGTGGATTCCACCCATGGCCAGAAGCTTTTACCACGCCTGAAACCTCATTGTGACTAGAACAGCTCAGCACCAGTTTCTGGGTAACACTGGAAAGATACTGGACAGTTATATGTTATTAATGATTTGAAAGCGTACTTTGTCAGCAATTGTACTACAATGTGGTGAGCTGATACAGTTCATCAGTGAATACCCTTGTGAAGAGCATAAGAGAAACCCAAAGCCATTAAGAGCGTGATTCTGCAACAAAATTAAGCTCTCTCTTCTTTTTGTGTTTTTTATGGCCAGAATAGTGTAGAAGAAGGTGTCACATCTCTACTCATCTTGAGCATCATGAAGAAAATATTCTGCAAACTGTGAGTACCAGGGCATCAGCTGCTCCATACACAGCTAATGCAGATGGGTACAGCCTATTTCTCATCCTGTTCAGTCAGCAGGAACTGGCTGTGGGGCAGAGTAGAGGGACTTTGTGCTTCTTAGACTTTATTCTGGAATTCTGCTATTTAAGGCAGGCAGGGAGAAACCCCAGTGTTTGTTACTATACCAAAGAGGAAAATTTTAAAGATCTTCAAGCCAAAAAGTAGGTACAGAACCTACTGACTGTACTTACAGGCATGCCAGGGGGGCCAGGATCACCTCTCTCTCCCTGTAATGACAATCATTTAGCAAATGAGTCAGCCCAAGCTTTGTTGTGGGTGTTTTCTATCTTTATAGATATTAAGATCACAAGCTATCTGTTTCAGTTGTATATGTGGTTTTAATCTTATTTTTTGCATCAAGCTTTATTAAATAGTGAGGAGTAATGGAACAATTACATTTACCATATATGTTTCCCTGCAAGTTATGATTTTTCTTTAAATCAGATACTTACTGGAGGTCCTTTTCCAAAATGTGCAACATACACTGAATTTCCTTTTTCTCCTTTTTGCCCTGGATTTCCCTTTAAAGAAAAAAAGTCTCTTAAAACATGATCCACTTACTGATACTCTACATTTCCATGGAGACTGAATTATAAGTTCTCAGGCTGTGATTTTCTGCTGCCCCTACATCACAAGGTGATCCACTAGGATCATGTATGATCATTTTGCAGTTCTTTTATCTATCAAGACCCTTAAAAGTAAAATTACCTTCTGTACACTTGAGCAAACCAGCTCCCCACAGCTTCTGGACTCCTGCCCTGTTAGGTGCTTCTTTGCTCTTGGCTCTTGATTATGCTACACTCACAAATCTTGCCTTTATCAAGCCTATCCCTATGCCTACCTTTTCTTTCAGTGAGGCAGTGACTGTAAGTGTCAGTAGTCTGCCTTCTTCCAAAGTTCATGTTGTGATTTAGAAGAATTTAGAGTGATTCTGCATACAATTAGAAAAATAAAACTATGGACTGTATTAGATGCATAATATTCAATATTTCCATCTATTAGGAAACACATTTCAGTCTATTAAAAAAATCTGATGCCTAAAGGTCCTGGGTTTTTTTAAACTAAATTCCCATGGTACTTGCTGTGGGGTCCTTTATAAAACTTTGCTAAGTTTGGCACCTTCAAAACCTCAGACTTAGCAAGAACAGGTGATTTCTTCAGCAAAATTTAACTGTAGTGCTCAATTTACTGTTAAGACCATGATATGTGCATATCTGAAGAACAGATTTATAAAGACATTGTTTCTGGAGTTTTCTCATTTGAAATCCAAATGCAGTGGATATAATTTAACTAAGCTAACCACTTAACTATTGATTTCAATAAAATGGGATACTGTTAATGCCTTTAAGACTGTACAGGTTTTCTGATATTATACACTGGCTACTCAAATCCCGCAGCTGGAATGAAACAGGGAAGGTACTTATCCCTAGAATGGTACAATAAAAAGAAGAGTTACAGCTGGATATAGCTGTACTAGACTGGATACAGATTACAGGTAAACAACAGCTGCTAGGGAACACATTACACAAATAAAAAATTGTATTTATCTTTGGTTATTTTATATGTGCTCTCTGGAGTAGTAAAACATCTTTGTTAGATTCAGTTTATCTTCTACGTGAATTAAGTAAGGGCTTACAAATAGGAACTACTTTCTTTTCCAACAAGTTAACAGAAGTAAAGCTGATGAATATGTACATGGTGTTGAATTAAATTATACAGGACAATGTTATAAATAAGAATAACCTAAAAATCTTAGCTGTCATGTACAGACAGGTTGGTACTTGGTGCAACAAATTGATTTAAAATAGGCAATGTGCACAGAGAGGTTGGAATAGCATTCTTGTACACAAGAAAATGTGGTTACTATGTCTTGTCTTTCTGAGTAGCTAAATTAATTTTCACTGGAATTTTAGTATGCATATCCAAGGCTACATGCCTATTGTGTCTCTCAGTTTTTGCAAAAGTATTTTGCAAATATTTTTCTAGGTCTGTCAAAGAGCATGCTCCTGAAATTGGCAGGATTTACACTGTAATTTGTCCCATGTCTCATTTTTCCTTTATGTCATTTGGCTAATTACAGAAAATAAAACTCTCTTTTGAAGGCCATAATAAGTAAGAAAATACAGGTAAAATTAGAGTTTGAGCAGAAATCCTTTTTATCATTTGGAAGATTAATGAGTTACTTTCAGAGGTATAACAAATGAGGTTATCATTAAGTTTTTCATAATGTTGTGTATTTTATAGCATTTATTACAAGTCCAAGACTGAAATGGTATTTTATTATAATTGCTATATTTTTGGATAACATCTTTTCACTCTGGCACCCTCTGCACATTTTTTTTAATGTCTGACTTCAGCATCTTATTTAGCTCCTACAAAACACATTGGATTTTTCATGTAAATTGCAGTTAGTTTAATTGTTTTACTTGGAAAATTTCAGGGAAGCTCTTAGACCAACTAATTAGCTATTATTCCTTCAGAACTAAAACTTGTTTCCATGAAAAGTCAAAGACTGGGGACTAAACCAGCTCAGCAAAATTTCTTTGGAGCTTCAGTAATTTATGTTGCTTACTGACATGAATTTCTTTTATCATCATTAGTATAGCACTGCTAACAGAGCTACCTAAACAATTTTATAATGCTTTCCAGTTTACCAGCAGAAGTAAGCAAATATTAAAGAGCTCATTTTAAAGATTTTTACTGTGAAATGATCTACATATACAGATAAACACCCAGGCAAGACTAGGTGTGCACAGAGCAGTCATAGATAGATATGTGTAAAAAGTGGCACAAAATCTTAGAATGTAACAGGACTTAGACTTGCTGAAGCTTCCACCTTCTGCTAATTCATCCCATGTATGTCCCTACTATTAAGGTTTTTGAGAAATTTCAAGTCCTGATGAATGGTATGATGGTTTCAACCTACTCCTCCTCAGCTGTACTTCAGTGCCCAGTATTGGCACTGGTGTGGTCACACACTGGGGAAACAAGGCAGAATTTAGCTCTCAAGGCAGCCATATACACTTCAAGGATATAGGAACTTATTTCACATTCAAGCTTAAAGTTAATTTGTTAAGGCATTGTCTTTCACTCCCATTAAGCTGAGTAAGAATGCCTGGGAATCCCTGTGCAGTGCAAAGCTAGTGCCACAGTCTGAAACTCCTTTCACTTTGAGAGCTGTTCTCTGGGAGGGGAATGCACATGGACAGTGTTCATGGACGGCAGGAAAGCCTCTCACGTACATAAGGACCTCTTGGTCCCATGTAACCGTTTTCGCCTGGAAATCCTGGATCTCCCCTTGAGCCATTGCAGCCATCTAAACCATGCTTGCCTCTGGGTCCTTCCCTTCCTGGTAATCCCTGAAAGACAGTTTAATATTTATTAGAAATGCATCATGATCAATGGGGAATTGTTTCTTAAGTTAACAGAACAGTTCAGAAACAAATACCTCAGATCAGAATCAAAGGACACGTCACAGTGCTCCCAGTTTCATACTCTTTGCATTAGAAATGTTTTATATTCTGAACAGATTTTTTTTTCTGTAGAACAAATGATATAAGTTTTTTGTTTGTTTGGGTTTTTTTGATGCATAGCAAATATAGCAGGGACAGCACTGGTTATGAGGACCAGACTGAACTCTCACTTGAGTCAAAAAGTAATGTGCTGTCTTCTCAGAGAATGCACACTCTAACTAACTATAACCTTTTTTGTGCCTGTAAAGAAAAGCTGAAAAAGCCCCCAAAAGTCATCTCAGACAGCCTTACATTTTTAACTGATAGGATAAAACAATGAAAAACAGGACACAGCTCAGCTCAGGCACAGAGTAATATCAGAGATTGTGACTTTTCTAACCTGGCAAGAGCTAACCAGGGTCCAGATAAGGATTAGTTCTACTGCAAATTAGGCACTGGGCAATACAAACAGTGAGATTTTCTTGGAATGATCCTGCCACTGGAGAAAAAAATTATTTCCATAGAATTAAACATTTTTGTAAGGGACAAATACTAATTTTGACCCCAAAATTATTTCTTGGGGGGGTTCTGAAAAATCATCAGGAAAGTATCCTGGTCATTTGCCTGATATGTTTTTGTCAATTTTAACTTCTTCCCGTCTTTAAGGTTCTTCATCCCAATTTGTGGACACCGTTTTTTAATTGACATTTTTCATAAAAAGTATATGCATTTTTTGGGAACACTTTTTTTTTTTTTTTTTTTTGGTGCCTCCACATTATACAGACATTCTGGCAACAGCCCCACTGTCAAGTATGGACAGCTGACAAGCAGATGCTACAACACCCACTCAGTTTTTGGTTCTGTTTTCACTTTCAAAATTCAACATTTTAACTTTGATTCATATGAAACTAGTAAGGACATAGGAATTCAGTTCTAATAGATACAGTATTTTGAAAAATGCTGTATGTAAGATGTTATCTCTTTTACCACACCCATTTTCACACTGAGGAAGACATTCTGCAAAATATATAATCACATGCTTATAAAGATATATTTAGGAGCCACTTTGCTTATTCAGTCTCTATTCAGGCTAAAATTAATGGGCTCGGTGGCTGTTTTTTCCTGCAAAAGGACTACATGGAAAAATCAGAACCTTTGAATAGAAAACAGAAACATCATTTGAGATACATCACTTGAGATATTGAGTACATTTGAGGTATTTCCAGAGATGTTAAGAATGCATCAAGGAGACTACAGCCTGCTATAGAGCCTGAGAAAATAAACTCGTTGCTTTTAATCCTAGCACTGGCACATGCTAAATGGGCATGGGCAGCCTCTGCCTTCATTGCCCCACTCCTGCATGAAAATTATATACTTATCTCATTGGGGTTTTGTGGAATTTGTTATCAATAGTAAACACAGTTGAAGTTAACCTGGTTATTTTGCGTTTTTGCAAAACATGTAATTTTGCAGGTGACATGACATCAATAGATATAAAGCCAAACAATTTATTGAGTGTATTGTTCTATTAGAGGACTTGCTATGACTTTACAGGAACTGCAATTTTTATAAAGAAATATTTATTTAATACGTACAGGAACACCATCTAAACCAGGAAATCCTGGGACTCCAGTTGGGCCCTAAAAACAGATGATATGAAAAAACAGAGTTGCTGAGGTCATTAAATCTTGAAAATAAGGAAAACCAAGAATATGTGATACTATATAGCAAGAAACAAAAAACATTCATGTTTGAAATATGAATCAAAAGCTGTAACTGTCAGAAATAAAGATCTCCAAAAAACTTATATGGGCTTAGCAGAGGACTAGTGCCAATAGCTAAACATGTGACAGATGGTGCAGTACAGGACAAATGTCTAACACTCATACTCATTCATTCTCCTAAGATTATAAAATCACAGAGAAGGGGAAGTTGCCTGTAACTTATAAACTAAATCTATACATAATTTCACAATCCTGCTCCTGTTCTGATATTACCAGCAGCACGATTTTTATTTATAGCACCTACCTTTTCAGGTGTGTCAGTTACTGACATTAGTGACTTCAGTCATCCTCTGAGATCAGTGGAATTAGGCCATTAAAACACATATAAAGTACCAAGAGCGCAGGGATTGTACAACTGTGAAAGATATGAATCTGGACTACAATTTATACCCTTAAGTGGTAATAAAATTCTGTTTAGTGCAGCACTTTAAAAAGCACCAAAAGCTCCCTCCAGCTCCACAATTCTTCCACAAACCTATTTGACATTAAGGAGAATGACATGGTAAGTAACAATCAGAGACTGAGTCTGTTTAATCTTATTTTATGTCTTCTGACAATTCTAATTTTGCAATCCACAGCAAAAAACTCCTGAAATATTTTTTCAAGAATGCTGTAATTAATTTCAGTGAGAATTCTCTATCACTGGTCAACATTACACCTTAAAGAGCAGTCTGTGGTGTTTCCTACCTTATCACCTTTTTCTCCAGCTGGCCCAGGCTGCCCATTCTCACCTCTCTGTCCTTTTTCCCCTGGCAGACCAGCTGGTCCTGTGGATCCCAAGGACCCAATTGGCCCTTGAGCTCCCAGCTCACCAGGTTGACCCTGAAAAGAGCCCAAAGAAGTGAATGAATATGCTGTAAACCTCGCAGCAGGCAGCAATTCAGAGATGACTATGGCTAAAACAAGGCTTACAATGTATAAACACTTATGATTCAGAACAGGTTGCTGTACAGCCTGCAGAACTGTGCCATGCATTACATGCCCCAGGAACATGACCTTCAAATTTAACAACTTATTCAAGGTGATCATTTCTTTTCACCTTCATCAGGTCTCCAAGACCACCTGGCTGAGATGCCTGGGATAAACTGCAAGTCTTCCTGGCTCTACCAATGTAAGTATCACCTTTTGCAAGCCTAAGACTCCACTGGGTGTTGTATTTTCCCACCAGAGAAATGAGAAATTTTACACAAAGGGACTTTATACCCAATTAGAGCAAATCAAGGGAGTTCTCTCTTTCTTTAAGTTATGACAATAAGTTTTCCTAGCTCATGTCTTCCATCATCACTCTCAGATCTTAATGCCTTATTTAAAAGTTCTCAAGTTTCCTGTAGGAAAAAATAATAAGTTATTACCCAACATATTTATAGAAAGTATCAGTTTTAATAGATTGTGATAAAATGGTTTTGGAGGTTGCAGAATTCCATTTATCTATAAATGGCTCTAAATTGTGTATCTGTACCTATATTACCATACAGACTATCTCCATGGAATTCCAAGGTAATTGGAATAAGTTGGTATATTAACTTTTCCAAGGTAATATATATGTTCTTTATTTATTCTTTACTTCCCGTGCCAACTGAATTTTTTGGTCTATAGCATTGGTGTGGAGTTGTTTCAGATTTGTTGCAGGTTTTGTTCTGTGCTACTAAAAAGCTACACAATCATAGATTCAAAGTGCTGAATAAAGCAAGCTTTCTAATCAGACTTTACATGTGAGTTGTCTACATTTCCACCCTACAAAATCTAAATATTTATAGGTCTTTATTTCTCTTACTCATCTTTTTCATTCTGTATCATTATCTTTGTTTACCTATAACTTGTTCTGTTTTCAAACTGAAGTGCTTCAATTTCAGAATTCATCAATCAGTGATATCATATTATTAAAAATGAGAATAAAATGGGATCCATGCATTCTTGAGAAAACTATAAGGTTTTAGGACCACTTGAGGGCAGTAAAAGATATTTCAGTATCCACAGAAATAACAGACCATATGTTTATTTCTATAAATGGATTGAACCAAAAAAAAATGACAGAAATGAAAGATGATTTTAAGCAGATATGTAACTTCAGGAAGCAAAAGAACTGAATGCTCGTTTTTCAGTGTAAACATTTCAGCAGACTGAATCTGTCTGAACAAAATCTTACCTTGTGAATTGCAAGCAGGGACCTACACTTCTTTTTCTTTTTATTTATTTTCTATTTGTCTTTTAAAATCAGTGTGATTTGACACTTGGAAATGAAGAGATGTATGGCATCCATCACTCAATCAAATCAGCAAAGAAAGAGAGGAGGTAATTTACTACATGTTTGCACAGGAACATACTATAGGTTTATACCATAGTGGAAGCAAGACTAGGTGACCACTGGCCCTTAAGCTATGAATAGGAACTTAGTCCAGAGGCTGGAAAAAGAAGTCCTACACTTAGAAAGAAGGACTTCCTGAAAAAAGTATCCTCATACAACTCAGGTTCCATTTATCTTTACTGTATCATCTCATGTCAACCTTGATCCTGCTTCCAGTGAAGTCACTGGCAAAAACTCCAGGGCAGACTTGGCATGTTGTCTTCACTAACAGTTACAGTTTTCTTGATACCATAATTTGAGGAGTGTCAAATATTATGCAAATTAGGGGCTACTCGTATTAAAAGCTCGTGATTCTGCATCCTTGTTAACAGTGAATGGACAGTCAGGATTCTGGGTGTTTAATTTGAGCATTTGCTTGCATGAACAGTTGCAGCCTGTCTACTGGCAGTGCCTTGCACATCCTCTGTCAGAAAACTGAATTTACTCATTGAAGTACTTTTAAAGCAGCTATTACGCCCTTTAAATATTTGATTAAAAAAAAGACTTGACAACCATTTTAAGTAAAGAATAATTTTCAGTATAAGTGAAATGAATGACCCTAATAATATAATAAAATACAACTGTTTGAAGCCCTAACTCTACCTGAAGTGGTACAGTTTTTTTAGTACTCTGAAGTAGCTACTACCATGCACAATGCAACACTCAACAGCAGGAAAAAAAGCATAAGATGTTTATCAGTAATGTTCTAATACCTTTGTCTTATTGCATTTTATTAACAACAGTTTTTGGCAGCAACTTC